CATTTCACTGTTGTGAGTAGTTTCTGTTTCCCTTTGTGATGCACACCGCATTCCTCACTGCATAGACCACAGTTCATGGAGTGATCATCACCAGGACCCCGGTCATAAAGCAAACTAGTGTAACTACTGCCCAGCGTGGACTTTTAAGTTTTCCCCTTACTTATGGATAAAATTGTATGATGTCTGTGAAACATCATATAATTATCTGAGAATTCAAAATAACATGAGGATAGGGAGGAGTGAGTTGTGCCTTAGGTGAAATGAGATTGGCTGTGAGTTGATAATTGCTAAAGCCAGGAGGTGGTAAGTAGGGGTTGGTTATTTCATTCTGTTCAAATATTCCATGATGAAAGACTAAGAAATCCCATAAAAGCGCCATAATTTAAAACAAAAGTCCAGTCTTGAGAACATTGCTCTTCTGAGTATGGTTCTCTGGTCAGTTTCCGGTAGGGTCTTACACGCTTGCACAGGACATGTGCATGTCACTGCTGACACAGTGAGCGTAGGCTGAACGGTATTTGCATAAGTCCACATGGGCTTGCGTGGATCCTCGCGTGCACCTGTTCGTGAATGTGCTGGGATCAGGCCACAGTGGGGAGTTGACCCCAAAAGAACACAGTTGGCTGGCAAATCTGAGGTGTCCAACTCCTGATCCTTGGCCAGGGCCCAAAACACTGACCCTCTGAATAGTCATGATGCCAAATTGGGTGTATAGTAGCTTCAAGTTGTATAAAATGTTTTGCTTCAGAAACACAGGCTTTAGACTCCTGCAGCTGGGCATTGCAATGCCTTATGCTGAGTAACTGAACCGCGTGACTTCAATGAAGGTACGTAAACATCTGTGAAGTGAGGGTAGTAATACATCCCACACCAGGCATATTCTCATGGTTAGATGAAGTAAACTGTGTAATGTGCCTAGTGGAGCTTCTGGCACAATAATGCCCTCCAAAAAGTTTACCACTGTGAGTATTAACAGCACTGTATGAATTAATCCACCAAAGGTAAGTAATGGGAGATTCTGCTAGTCTGAACTGTGTTCTTGTGAGAACTTTGCAGAATAGAATTCTGTACCATTATGAACTAAGTTACTTGGGAAGCCTCTAGGGAAAGTTTGAATTGTATAGACCCAACTTTCCTGTGAGCCCTGCAATGTCAGAAACCCGATATGGTCTACTCATCCATCGTAAGTAAGGTGGCCAGTGTAAGAGGCAACACAATTTTTCCCTAAGATTCTTGACTACAGGCTTCCTTACCACAGACTCCTTGATGGACTTCAAGGGTCTAGGCTTTCTCCCAATATATGCAAATTTACAGGTATACTCACTTTTCTTAGAGATATAAAAAATTATTCCTGGCTCTCATTAAATTCTCAAAAGGCTCTTTATTACCTTAATAAAGGTTTGGAATCTCTGCTCTTAACAATTTGATTTTGGGAATATGGATGTGAATTTTCTTAACAGAAAGAATTTCAATCTGGTGGTGGTGGTGGTTTTTGTTCAGTCGCTAAGTAGTGTCCGAGTCTTTGCAACCCCATGAACTGTAGCACATCAGTCTTCCCCATCCTTCACTATTTCTCTGAGTTTGCTCAAACTCATGTCCATTGAGCTGGTGATGCCATCCAACCATCTCATTCTCTGTCGTCCCCTTCTCTTGCCCTCAACCTTTCCCAGCATCAGGGTCTTTTCCATTGAGTCAGATCTTTGCATCAGGTGGCCAAAGTATTGGAGCTTCAGCCTAGCACCAATCCTTCCAATGAATATTCGGGGTTGATGTCCTTTAGGATCATCTGGTTTGGTCCCCTAATTATAAATAAAAATTTTTAGATATGTACTTCCTTTCTATGTTCTGTCACTCATTTGCCAGGGTGAATGCCTTTGCATAAATGCTGATAAAATGAGAGGCTGCTTCGGATGAGCACACTAATTGTAAATTCAGAAAGCAAGACTCAGGAGCATTTATTTGGAAAAATTCTAACTTTTTATAAATAGTCAGAAAATTGATTTACAAAATGTGTTTCACAGTTATGACTGATTTTTGAGCTATAGTTTTGCCAAAGAACTTAGATTTCAAAGAAAAATGGTTGGTGGTGTGTGAAAGTGTGTGTCCTTGATTTTCCAGTTGCTACTACTGTAATATATCTAGAAAATACTGGAGGTTGTTACCTGGTCAAACTACTTATAAATACATTTTTTCTTTAAAGGATTGTGAATAACAATAGAACAGACTTGTGGACTCTGGGAGAAGGCGAGGGTGGGATGTTTCAAGAGAACAGCATCGAAACATGTATATTATCTAGGGTGAAACAGATCACCAGCCCAGGTTGGGTGCATGAGACAAGTGCTCGGGCCTGGTGCACTGGGAAGACCCAGAGGGATCGGGCGGAGAGGGAGGTGGGAGGGGAGACTGGGATGGGGAATACATGTAAATCCATGGCTAATTCATTTCAATGTATGACAGAAACCACTGCAATGATGTAAAGTAATTAGCCTCCAACTAATAAAAATAAATGGAAAAAATAAATAAAACAGGTATGAAAAGAACAAAAAAAAAAACACTTTAGAGAACATGATGGGTGCCCTTCCCTGCCCTGTTTTCTATTTTATCAACATGCCTAAGCTTAGAATGTGAAGTCATGGACTTGGTGTCCCAATGAAGTCATGGACTTGGTGTCCCAATGCCACATTTCCAAATTACCGACACAGTTAACAAGATGGATGATATTAACAGCTTTAGGTTCGCTCTGTAAAATAAATTTTTTGTTGTTGTTGAATAGATGGGAATAGAACAGCACTTACAGCACCCATTGTTTTATTGAAAGTCTCATGTCGGGGAAATGGATTTGAGAGTTCATTCAGATGCTAGAACATTAGAACTAAGGTTAGTAGTTATTGAAGGGAGACCACTTAGGAGCATGTTTGTCCCCTAATGAAATGCTTTGGCACAGAGGAAGAAACAATATAGGATGAAATATTAAGGAGGCCACCGGCCTGGTCTCTGTGACAGCAGCCATGAGCAGGAGCCTGCTAAGACTCCTAGCAGGTGGAGAGCAAAGATGTGACTGGGCAGCTGATTGGCTGCCGTCTCTGAGGGACTCATCAAATCCAGTACGGTGCCTTCAAGCAGATGGTAGTAAAACCCTTGGACTTGGTTTCTCCATGAGAAAACTAGTTTCTATTTCTCTCTGCATATAAATCACTCATGACTCTGCTCACGATTTCATTAGAAATTCCTTGTGCTCTCATCTTAACCGACGGCAGCAAAGAAATCAGGTCCTGCATTGCACAACTGGGTTATGCTAAAAGTGTGTATGCTTAGAGCTCCTCTGTTACCATAGTAGTTGAGATGCATTTTCTCTGCTCGGGCAAAGGTGGTGGAACGCATCTACCAGAGTCATCAGTCAGGCTTCGGGAGTGCCTGTTTCCAAGAGAAGTTGGAGCCGAACTTAGTGGCCGAACCTTCTACGCCTTCTGTCAAAGAAAACATTTTTACATAAGCTGATTTCCACCAGAGGCTATAACGAGATCCCTCCCAGAATTGAAAGAATATTGTTACTCCTTCCATATGGCATGCATTTGTGCTAAATTACCTCAGTCTGGAAGCCCCAGCAGACATTTTCCTTGTAATCAAATACAATAAAACCCAGAAATGAGTGTCCTCCAGTTGAACAGTGAATTTCATACTAGGCAATAAGTGCAAATGGAGACCGATAACTCATTGGATGCATATGATTGGAGTGAGGGAGGAGAGGGAAGAGAAGCAGAGAATAGCATTCTTGCTTTGGATCAGCCACATGATCTTTTGCATATTTCTCTGTCACTACATAAATGCATTTCTTTCAGGTGAACAAATTCATTGTTTTGTAATCTGTCTAATAGCCTGTTGGATTCATTCGCAAACATTGGAGTATAACCAGACTTAGACTTAGGACATATTAAGTGTCTTGCTAACATTAACTAGGAAACTGTGATGAGCAAGGTAGTAGCTTTAACTACTACTTTGAATTAAATGTTTCTTCTCAATTACCTAGACTGGCTCTTTGGGGCTCTCGCGGAAAGAATCCTGCTAGTGAAATCTCTCTTTTTTTTTTGCCTGCCTCCCACCCCCATTCCACCTCTCTCGATCATCACAGAGAGTAGCACTGACATTTATTAATGCGCTGCCATGTGTGAAATAGCCAGGGAGAAGCTGCTGTGTGGCGCAGGGCCTCAGCTTGCTGGTTGCTGCTGGTGAAACGTTGACTTCTTTTTGAATTTAGAAATGCTCCCTGATGTTTGGTGTTTGAGGCAAGGTCTTGAGTTATTCTCCATATGAGTTCCATGAACATTGTGTTCTTTACTTTTCTCACCAAATGGCCAGTGTTTCCAAGCAGTGTCATGCTGAAAGCTGCCTTCATGATGATCTGTACCCAGTGAAGAGAGGCTCTTGTTATGGCTTCTCACAATGATGATGGGATTTGCCAAAGCAACTGGGAAAGGGGAGAAGCAATCCGAGGGCCGGAAATAAGGCCTGAAAAGGTGACATCTGTGCCTCGCTGAGTGTCAAGAGGAGGAAGTGGGAACTCACAGTGGGAATCCACAGGCACTCATCTTTTGCTATTCATTTGATCTCTACCAGAGTTTCTTCACCTCCAAAGTCAGAATAATGCCAGCTTCCACAGAATTATGTAATAATGATGCTGAAGAATTTTATTTAGAAAATAATGCCCTTCAGAGTAGACGTGGTTCTATAAAAGTTTATGTTACAAAAGTTTTTAAGTATCCAGTCCATAGACCATCCAACAAAATCTTGGGACTCTGAAGAACTGCTGGTTAAGCCGAGTCTCATAGCTGTCCCCCTTGGACAATAGCTGCCATTTTTCAATATAGGTCGGACCAAGCATCTCAGTGTTCTATCTTGCTGTGGATCTGGTTTATTAACCTACTTTATTGCTAAGCCATTGACTGTTACTCTCTGACCAGCGGAAATCCACTGTGCTTTGGCCACTGATCAGTCCCTGACGGTCACGTCCGCTTCTTTCTCTGGCAGGGGGAAGAGCTAGCGCTGAGACTGTGTTGGTGATCAGGAGTCTGTGACAGTTCTTCATTCGCTGAAAGGAAAAATACTAGTTAATACTTCAGAGGCAGCTGAGTGCCGCTGGTCACTCACAGCTCCTAAGGTGTAATTGGCCGGCACTTCTATCCTGGTGGTTACAGAAGTCGTGGCCATCAGAGCAACTCCTGTGCAGGATCGCTCCTTTGCTTCTCAACCCCTCCCCCCAAAAATGTAAATGCTTATTCTAAAGAAAGGTCATGGTTAGACTGGGCAAATTACCTCTGTAATAAAAATCATTACATGTTAAGTATATTTTATATTCAGTAGATTAAGTGTTAATTAAATGTATTAAGACTTCCACATTCAATAAATATTTATTAAGCCTGTCTAATGTAAGGCCTAGGGATATGGAAATGAGTAAGAGAGGGTTTATGTCCTGGTCCTCCATGCCAAAAATGTGTTTCAGCAATTATAGTCTTCAGACACGTCATATTTGTCTCCTCTTTACCTTTTGGTACCTTTGACTGAAAACTCAGATTCCAATTTTCACTTACTCCCTTATCCCTTAAAATATAACTTCACTTAAAGCTACTGAAATATTAAACTTATCAGTGACATCATAATTACTAACTCTTGTCATCTTCTAATCCCCAGTTTCCTCCCTCTGTAGCATTTGACATGAGCTCCCTTCCTGTGACCCCCACCCCAATCTTGCTCCTCCCCTTGGCTTTTATTATGTAAGCATCTTTCTGTATATCCTTATTTGCTCTGGTACTTTCACCTGTTACCTCTCTCACAATAATAAATTTGATCTTCAGCCCTGAAATCCTGACAGTTATCCTTTGAGATCTTCCTAATACATAAAAAAAAAAAAACAGCCTTTTTTCTGACTACCACCAACATATATAACAGAAACTATTGTTACTCTTTAAAGTTTATTTTCAGAATTATAATTAGTCACATTATTGAAGCCAGAGACACGTTTATAATCTCATAGGAGATAATGCATGTTTATAGAATTAAACCTGAAAATGTTCTTTTTGGCCGACATGTTAAATCCTAGCAATTTATTCCTTGCCAGGCACTTTATATGCCATGCACCCCAGGACGTGAGCACCCTCTCTGACTTTGTGTGATTCCACACTGCTTGTCATCTTAGTCGAGAGAGGGTACACATGCATTGGAGGCTATCAGGTCTTAGGTTACACAAGCCTCAAGTTTTAACAGCCCATGTTTGTTGATCACTTTTGTGCCAAACGCTGTGAAAAGCCCTTTGTGGGTCTTATTTGATTCTTACATTGTAGTCACTTACTTTTATTTTACAAATGAACAAATGAAGGTGTAGAGAAATCAAAATGAGGCAGTTTGCCCAAGATCATAGAAACTGATGGATTTAGGATTTGATTCCAGGCAGTCTTGACTCCAGAGCCTGTACTCTCAGCTGCTCAATTTCACTGCCTTTCCAAAGAGATGGTTGCTAGTTCAAAGGCATTGCTTCAGATAGCCCATGCCTTAGGTTATAGACTCATTGCAATATGAGTAATTTCTTCCCTCATTCTTCATTACCAAAGGCTAACTGTACAACAGATGCTTTGAATGAGGAGCCAGGATACAAACTGTAGAACTGAGAATGGGCGATCTGAATAATGACACTGAAAGAGAACTAGAAGCATGAAAAACTAGGAAGAGAGACCAAAGGAAACCCGTCATTCCGCAATGAGCTGTCCCTCCCTAAACCAAGGGTCTGTGCCAGGCTCAGTGCAGAGAGCAAGAGAAATAGCTTACAATGCTGAAAGAGCTTGTAATTTGGCCATCATTTCATGTTAATGGAACTTTTAGGAGAGCATAGAGAGATTAGACAGGTGAGAATAGGCAAGTGGCCGTGAGAATATCAGAGTTTGTAAATGAAGAATATTCTGCAGGCAATGACATTGTCTTTGTTGGGCCACAGGTGAAGAAATGTCATCATCTTGATTCAGAGCTAAGTCTTCATGCTGAGAAATCACCATCATCAATAACTACCCTGTTGAAGAGACTGATAATCCCCTCAAAGTTTTTGTAAGACTCTTGCCTTCTTTAAATTCTCCCACCATTTTCTTTCATGTTGGTGATAAGCTTATGTGCCTGGGCTGAAAGTATTCCTCCATTCAGCAGATACCTACTGACCCCTACTCTGTATTCAATACTCCAGGGGTAGTGTTTTAGCTGAAAGGGCTATTTCTGGAGCCAGATAGCCTGTCTCTACCATTTTCTGAGTGAGTGACCTTGGGCAATTTACTTAATTTTAAGTACATTTTTTATAATTTATTTTATTTTTAAGTAAAGGTAATTTTGTCTTGGCTACTGGCTTCCCAGGTGGTGCTTGTGGTAAAGAACCTGCCTGCCAGTGCAGGAGATGTGAGACATGGGTTCGATCCCTGGGTCAGGAAGATCCCTTGGGGGAGGGTATGACAGCCCACTCCAGTATTTTTAGCACACACGCAGGTATATTTTAATGATAGTTATTATAATGACACAAACACTGTCTTCTTAGAGTTCATATTAATAAATCAGCAGGAGCCATAATGACTGAACATTATTCAGAAAAGGCACTTAAAAACCTTACATGTATTACCTCACTTAATCCCCACACCAACCCTACAGCTACATCCTGCTATTAATTCTATTTTACAATGAAGAAACTGAAGCTTCAAGAGTTTAGGTAGTATGCCACTTAATTGGACATGCATCCTAAATCACTTTAGTTGTGTCCAATTCTGTGCGACCCCATGGACTGTAGCCCACCAGGCTCTTCTGTCCATGGAATTCTCCAGGCAATAATACTGGAGTGGGTTGCCATGCCTTCCTCGAGGGGATCTTCCCCACCCAGGGACTGAACCAGTTTCTCTTTATGTCTCCTACATTGGCAAGCGGGTTCTTTACCACTAGCACCAGGGGACAGTGAATGGAAGTGGATTATTTTATGGAGATTTTGAGGACTCTAATCACTTTCTGTAAAGATTGTTTGATATGTTAAGAGAGCTCTTACACAGTTGATTTATTCATGCTTTGACAGACCAGTCAAGAATCACTGTTCCCTCAATGGAATCTTCTGACAAATGCATATGTTATGATCTATTGAAGATTAGAGTACATACTTAACAATTTTTCTTTAAAGCCCTCAATTTTAGCTATGTTTTTCTTCAACTAATTGTTACCAAATATGTTTTATTTTTAAATGCCCAACCTGTAAGATAAATTGCATATGTTAAAAAAAAGAAGAAAGGCAGTGTGACCTTTGTTACGAAGCTGAAATTCAAACTCCCATTTGGTTTGACCCTTTCACCTGAGATCTTAACAATTTCACTCTGTTAACCCTTAACTTACTCTGATTTCTCTAAATCCTTTCTTTTTTTTCTATTGCTAACCACCAAAGCATGTATATGTGTGTGTGTGTGTGTGTATATTTATTTATAAAGTTCAGTGAGAGACACCTAGCCACACTGCACATTTTCAATACTTCAGTTACCTGTTTAAGAATGTCAGTTGCTGAAGGTCAGAACCTGATCACTTTTCCTGACCTAATTTTACATCTAACTCCATACAAAACTTTCAGGCTTTCGAGAGACACAATTTCTTTTTCATAGTGACTGTTTTTGGCAATGTTGGTTATTTTAGCAAGCAATTTGTTCATGACCAGGGTGATGGTATTTTGAGTGGCACTGAATGTAGCAGTTTAGAAATCTCAGGACTTGGGGAGGTAAGATCATCAAAACTTCCATCCACGCAGAGGTGACATGTCCCTGGCAGAGGCTGATGAAGGGTTTGGTGATGGAAAGTTCAAGAATCAGACCTCTACCTCAAGTACTTACTCAAGGCAATGGAAATAGATTAAAGAGTGCAGGATGTTAGGGAATTTCCTTTCTTTGCAAAAAAATTGATGTTCTCTACATACTAATTAAATTTTCATGCACTGTTACCTCCTAAGGCATGAATGTGGGATTAATGATTACGATACCTCCACGTGCTTTCCATCACATCTGAAAATGCATCTCTTGCCTGATGGACTAGGATGTATGAGGCAGGCAACATAATTTTCTGTTTCAGGATGCAAGACTCTGGGGTTCTGTGAACACGCTAGTTAATCTATCAATGTCCCTTTCTTTACAGGACAAAATAGGAATGATTACACTTGCCATAACCCTGTTTGCAAGATTGATGACATGATATTTGACCATCTGTTTACAATTTTTAAGTGGGAGCTACTAAATAGAGATTCAAACTGGTGATATTTTATTTGGGGCCAAGTGATCTCTTTTGCCCTCAAACTGGAGAGAAGATATATAACTGCTTGCCCTTAGGAAAACAGTTACAGAAAGAACTATAATTTTAAAAGCTATATGTTCTCAAAGGTTTGTTTGTTTGTTTTAAATAAGAAAGGGAAATTTGGAATTGGATTGGACCCACATAAAAATGAAGGCACGCCTTGTCTAAGGTTGTCTGCTCACACTGGAAAATGTAATCAGGAATGACTCCAAAAAAGGATATGCGGATCCTAGACGGGAGCAGACAGAAGCAAAGGAGGGTGGGAAGACAGACTTCAAGTTTGTTTTTTGGCTAACACAACACCATCCAGCTTAAGGAATGTTACTGGTTTTTGTTGATATTACTAAAATAGCTATTAGCCTCTCATATTAGTCTAGCATTTGCTGGGTATATTATTAACACTTAGTCAATCAAACTACGATGCAGTTTCATTCTTTTCAGTTACAGCAGAATAAATATTCTCAATCCAGGACCCAGCAGCCTGTGGCCCAACCACTTTAAGCTTCCTGAGGTTTCTTTTCTCCCCCCACCTTAAGACCACACTTTCATAGTAAATTCACACCAAGCCATCAGATATCTATTAGAGCTTGACATTTACCGAACACTCTGATAGCACAATGATGGCTTGTTTCCTTAATAGAAGTTTAATGGATGAGAAAGAAGTGTATGCGCACACACTCACAGGGACTTACACACACACGCACGCCTGTCAGGCAGACAGCAGACCATGTAACACCAGGTAATGTCTGTGAATCTATTCGCCTGAGAGAGATAAACGGTCATGTGTCCAAATTGCTGGCTCCCAGTTCATCTGTCTTCACGGAGCTGCAGAGAAGGATCCCTGCATCAGGTCTTCAGAGTCTAGTGTACCGTCCACACCGCTGGTGAGATCAAACTTGCTATGTTCCCCTGTGAAGGTATCTTAAGAGGGCATTTATTGACGAGTCCCTACTCATTCAAAAGATGTGTGATCCCAGGCCTCCCAGAAAGACGGATAGTCCGTGGACTTGTTTCAGTTGTGTGCCCTGGAAAAGGACCTCTAAGCCCTGCCGGAGAGGCTTCTCACTTACCCTCCATCAGCTTGATCCTGAAGTAGGCGATGAGAAGGAGCAGCAGCAAAGTCACAGGCAGGAAGATGCCAGAGAACAGGAACCAGCCTGGAAGCTCTCTCAGGAGCTCTGACAGCACAGGGCTCATTGCCAATCACACAGAGCCCCTACCCCGGGCCAGTGGGGTTTGCACTCTGGGTGAGGTCAGCTTCGCTCAGAGGCCGCACTTGTTTTCTTCTGGGGCTCTGGCCTTTGCTCAGCACATCTCGGTGGAACTTTTTGTGGACTTTGCTCTATTTAAACAGCCCCATGAATTCTGAGAGGATTGCTGGCAGGTTACTCTGTAACTCAGTTACAAAGTATAGTGGAATTGAGAGTTGATTCTCCCAGGCCATTCCAGAGGTGAGTGAATGTTTATTTGGCGAGGTTGGGAGTGACACTAGGAGGCCTAAATTTCTTTGTGTTCAGTTTATTTGATTTGAAAAGTACCTAACTTCAAGCAAACCTGTTTTATATATGTGTGTGTGTGTTAGTTGCTCAGTCATGTCCAAGTCTTGGCAACCCCCTACGCTGTAGCCTGCCAGGCTTTTCTGTCCATGGAATTCTCCAGGCAAGAATACTGGAGTGGGTTGCCATTTCCTTGATATATATACATACTACCAATATATTCATGCTACCAATATATTCCCTGATGTAGAAAAGAACTGATCCTACATTTTCTAAATTTCAGAGAAAAAAAATCACCATGTTAATGTACCTGTGTCTAGAAAACCTGAAATTTCCTTCATACAGAGTTCTTTCCATTTGTAAAAACTCTTCCTAGTATGTCCTGCTCTGAATGCTTTTCCAAGCAGTACACTGCTTTATTCAGTTATTTGACAAATACTTAATTCTGCTATAACCCAACCTCTTGACTAGATGCTGGATGTATAAGAAAAAACCATGGAACTTGCCCTCTGAGAGTGGAGATGGACAGAGAGAGAGAGTGGCCGCAAGACCCGATGATGGAAGGGATGGTAATGTGGCCCCTGGTCCTTCTCACCTTGATGCATCAGCTTGCACTTGCCGCTTTAGCAGTTGGCACCCTCGGCTGTCTTCTGCTCACACATTCCTGTGACCCTCCACTGGCAGTAGAAGGTGGCCTCTGAATGATGGTGATGTGGCTTATGTGGTAACTACCAAATTTCTGAGAAAACACTAAAGGGCAAGGGTAGGAGACTGTGTTGACACTGGCTCATAAACCGAGTTGAGTTGCCATCCACTTAAGCTTTAGTGAAAAAAAAATTGAAGATACTGATCTACTAAACTAAAAGCAACTAAAAAGTCACTTCTATAAATGAAAAGTCTCCTAGAGAATTTGGAAATTTTGGGGAGGGAGATGGGTAGCCACTCCTTGGGTTGATTTCTCTTTTCATGCTCTAACCTTGCTCCCCACAGCCACTTGGTGCCTGCCTCAGTGAGTGGCTGGCAGCCTCTACCAAGGACATGCCATTGTCACTGCCTCCGGAATTATCTCATCAAGGGTTTCATGGGGCTATGCAGAGTCTTTGTCACAGCTGTGGAGTTTTCACCCTCATCTATAAAACAGTAGAATGGGAAGGGTCTCTGGGATGCTTAGCTGGCTTCCTAAGCAGTAAATAGTAAATAGACTCTGTGAGAACTACCCCTGAGTATTTCATATTTTATTATAAAGGACATTGCTTTTAAAATTTTGATTCCTGATTATGGCTGGTATTAAATGTTTTCTTAATTTATGAAAAGTACCACGTCACTGGGAACTTTTAAAAGATTAGATATTAGGATTTGTTAAACATCCTTTAGAGCTTGAGAACTTTTTTCAATAAAGGCTATTTTCCAAATTCACTCTGGTTGTTTGGGTTATTCTAAGTAGGTCTAGCAAATAGAAGGATGGAGATTAAAACACTGGTAGTCAGCCTATTTGACCAGAATCTGGGGTGGGGTTCAATAGAGTGTGCAATTGACTACCATAACGAGAGCAAATTCTTTATCTACATTTCAATTCAGAAGAATTGAAAATTCTTTTCAACATGTGGTGGGAATAATCATTAATGTCATTGGAAGATGTATATATGTGAAAATAGAGGGACATGTTACATTAGGGGTTAAATTCTCCTGCTATTTCCTTTGTAGTAAGTGAGCCCATTGTTGATTTCCATGACAATTTAAGGCACATGTGATTGCAGATGTTGATATGAAATTTCTAGAGGATGATTTTTACACCCTATTATGTCCTTAGTGACAGATGGACAAAGCCTTTTTTAGATAGTTGTGACCTATTGAAGGTGATACCAAACCCACCAGGCCTCTGACTTGAATTCTGCATTCATCTGAATAAGTCATAAAGGATGACTCATTTCAATAACATGCCATAGGGCTGTGAAGGTTCTGAAGTTCATCAATGGAAGATGCCAAAGTGCCATTGCTGATATCTAGAGAATCAAATTACACAGAGCAGCAAAACCAATACAAAAAAATTAAATACAAATGAAATGGACACACTTTAAATGAAGTGCTCTGATTTGATTATATGGGTGATATTTTGCTGATGAAGCATCGCTCGCGGTAAATGTAGTCGTGACTGCTTCAGTGTGAGCCTTTTGGGTGGGAAAGCCTGTAGCCTCTGCCCGTTGTTACCTGCCCTTCTGAACTTGTCTCATTAGTACATGTCAATTAAAGGAGTGTCACTTGGCACTAGTGGTACAACAGTCAACACAAAATAGGGACTCTGAAATCATGTGGTAGTAGTAGGTTATAAGGTGTTCATCCAGCAAAAAAGATAGACATGGAAGTGACAATAAAGAATTTAAATTCTTTGTGAACTTTGAGACAAGGTCCATAGGACTTCATTTATTTATATTTCATGTAACAAATATTTATTGAGGGCTTAACATGTGCCTTGGAGGCACTGTGAACATAACCATGGGTTAGACAAACTCCCTGTCCTTATACGTTCTAGACGGGTAGACAAACCATAAGCAACAGACCATAAGCAATAGTAACAATTATTGAACATGTGCATCGTTCCAGAGAACAGTATTTCCATGTTCTATCTCTTTTTACTTCTATTTTGTCTTTTTTTTTTGGCTGCATTGCATGGCTTGTGGGATCTTAGTTTTCAGATGAGGAATTGAACCCAGGGCCCCTGCGGTGGAAGCCTGCAGCACATTAGGACCACCAGGGAATTCTCTCCCATGTTCTATCTCATTACAGTCTTATAACAATGCCTTTGAAGCAAGTATCAATTCTGTAAACCTCATGAAACTTTCATAACTCATCAATGATCACACCACTATGAGGTGGTAGGGCTGGAATTTGAACCCAGACCCCAAACACTTATCCACTATACTCTACTACTTCTCAACCTCCTAGAGATATAGCATCAAGTCATGATAATTGCTCTGTAGGAAAAAAGAAAAAAGAAAAGGCAGGACAAAGAGAGAAGAGAATACCTGCAAATTTTACTTTTAGGTGGGTGGTCAGGGAAGGAGTAAGCAAGCCTTCCAGAGCTACTGTAACAAAATCCTGCAGACTGGCTGGCTTAAACAACAGTTTTTCAGTTCTGAAGATTGGACATCCAAAACCGAGGTGCCAGCAGGGCTGGTTTTTCTTGAGGTCTCTCTCATTGGTTTGTAGATGGCTGGCTGGCTTCTTGCTGTGTCCTCACATGGCCTCTTCTCTGAGCTCAGGCAACCTACGTGTCTCTTCCTCTTCTTATAAGAATTGGATTAGGGTCTCATCCTTACAACCTCATTTAACCTTAGTTACCTCCCTAAAAGTCCCTATCTTCAAATAAACTCACACTGGGGGCTATGGCTTCAACATACGAATTTATGTGGCGTTCCATTATAGAAGATTCAGTGCATTATAGATCGCTCTGAAATGCAGGCTTTTGAGCAGAGGCTTGAATGAAATGAAAGATGGAGTCCATGTGCATATGTAGAAGCATGGAGTTCTAGGCAGAGGGAGCATCAAGTACAAAATGCCTGAGTTAGGACTGTTTTCAGCTTGAAAGGAGATACAGAAGGAGACCTATTGTGGCTGGCACGCTGAGAAAGGGGGAAGTTGATAGAGGATACCCTTTTGGGGGCTTCCCTCATAGTTCAGTCGGGAAAGAATCTGCCTGCAATGCAGGAGACCTGGATTCAATTCCTGGGTTGGGAAAATCCCCTGGAGAAGGAAATGGCAATCCACTCCAGTATTCTTGCCTGGAAAATCCCATGGACAGAGGAGCCTGGCAGGCTACAGTCCATGGGGTCGCAAGAGTCGGACATGACTTAGCGACTATTCCACCACCACCACACTTTTGAGAAACTGATCTGGAAATGTGCTCGCAGGATGGTCTGTGAGACACTCATTCTACTGCATTTTATTAGACAGTGCTTGGAAATGGATAAATGTAGAGAATACTGGGGTAAGTAGATTACTGCAAGGTCTCTCAGAGACTTTACTTCAATAGAGTGCATATTGTGAATCTCCAAGAGGGATACAGCATGAGACTTTTCAGACTTACTGAACCACTGAGTTTTTGGTTTGCAGAACATGCTTCTGGGTATTGGCCACCAGGTAAGGAGCTCTTTCCAGGCACTCTGAACATAAAGCCTTCCCCTAACTATCATTTGTGCATGTGTTCTAAGTTGCTTCAGTCGTGTCCAACTCTTTGTGACCCTATGGACTGTAGCTGCCAGGCTCCTCTGTCCACGGGATTCTCCAGGCAAGATACTGGAGTGGGTTGTCATGGCCTCCTCCAGGGAACCCTTCCCAACCCAGGGATCGAACTAGTGTGTCTTGCATCTCCTGCATTGCAGGCAGATTGTTTACTGCTGAGTCACTGGGAAAGCCCAAGTATCATCACACAGGATTGGTATTCTTAGGTACAGAACAGCAGATAGGAATCAAATTATTCTGAAAAAATGTGTTTTTTTCTTTTGTTTTTGTGATTGTACTAGTACAGATTGACCCCAGCAGTTCAAGAAGCATCAACAATGTCTCATTCATTAAATTCTCCAAGTATCAGCCCAGCCCATCCCACTTTACAGTTATTTTGTTGATAGGGAAATGTTCTTGTCTCATTCTTGAACTTTTTGCAAGGTTATTTTATTCACAGGAAAATGATCATTGGAACAGACC